GCAATAGACAACATTGCATACAAAAATGTATTTATTAGGTGAAATTCTCCATGAAAATGCTGGTGAATTTTCAGGGAGGCTTCTAGACTTTTTTTAAAAAAATACAAACAAAAATCACTAATTATTCTGCATTAATTTATTTGGTGCATTTAAATCCCACCTTTCTTCCCTCATAGATACTGTCTGGTTCCCAGGCAGTTTATCATCCAAGCCTTGACCAGACCCAAACCTGACCCAAATCAGGTCCTCTCAGATCACGCCGTAGGGCCATTAGTATGAATTTTACTTTGCAATTATGATCAATTATGATTATTTATTTACTTATCCCAACTTTTCCCTGACAGGGACTCAATGCCCCTTACACCTAAAATGGAACCAGCTAAAAACATAGGGAAAGAAGTGCAATTATTTTAAAAAAACACAACACAATTAAACATTATGTTTTACAGATCTATGCTTTAATTACAGATACTGATAAATCAATAATACAAATCCTGTAACAAAAATATTATAACCTAAGAATTGCTTTGAGGATCAGGCAAATATCCATGTAGCCCAAGTGTCTTTGAGAACCTAATAAGCATTCCATGAAGGTTGAGTGATTATGAGAACAAGACCTCACAATGGGACAAGACCTCACTGTGGTTCCTTACAAATATTAATTTTTGGGAAGGGTAAATGGGTGAAGTCATTCTCCATCAAGGACTCACCATCATTGCTGTTCTCTCCTCTCCTTCCCCCTCCACCTCGTACTCGTACTAATCTTCAAGGTTGTTGCTTAAATCTGATTTTCCATCTGGATAAGGTGACTATGAAACATCATGGCCAGTGATCTGTGACTGTAACATCCCTAAAAAGAGACACATTTCCCCCCCCAGCTTGAACCCCTTTTTATTTTTAAGGAAGGGTTCTGCCTTTTTTAAATTTCTCACAAGGCAACAACTAACTAAATGTATTTTGCCTTCCTAGGACAAAGCATATGGGAAAAGGCTGCTCACAAAGTAAAGAATAATATATGTATTATCACAAATTTAAAGTACAATAATTTACAATAAAACAGCAGACCAACATCAGAAATAAAACTGCATTAAAAAAAGACTTTTCAGCAAACAGTTTATAAATACATAATTGCAAGCTCTAAGTGGAAAATGTCAACAGGAACAAAATGGTCTTAAGAACCAATTTAAAAATAGTCAAATAGGAGGCTGGCTAGCTGAACCTCTCCTGAGAGACTTTTCTATAATATAGGCATCACAACAGAGAAGGTTGTTGCTGTTTTCCATACTAACTACACTTCTCAAGGCTAGTCAGACATTTCACAAGATTGTGACCTTTCAATTCCACAGACTAGAGTCACCTGGACTAGAAGTCACCTTTTTCTTCAACACTGGTGTGACAGACATCAATCAACCTCTTGTCAGTGCACTATGCCAATCATTTGGGGTTCCTTTTTCAGTCAGCCTAAAGTCTTCCCGAATCTTCTTTCTCAGTTCAGCTCATCTGTTGGCGATTTCCCATGTGGGAATAAACACCTCACCCATTCCAGTTCTGCTTTGAAGTATTTATTGAAGAATTAACACTATAGCTTGTATAACTACTGGCCTAAGGAAAATAAAACAGAAGTATATACAGTACAGAGAATCATTCTTCCTCTCTGCTCTTCAACCATCCGGACAGAGTGACCAGCACACACTTTCAGAGGTTTTCTCATACAGAAGTCTGTCACTGGGGAGAAAATTTGTTGCTAGGATCAAACTTGCTAGCGGCAAAACTATTCAAGGATAATTTCAAGTCTGTTTTTAGACTACACTAACACCTCTACCACACTTGAGGCCACAGGACTATCTTGGAGGGCATGGCAGAGACAGATTTAGGGGACTGCGACTGGTTCAGAGCTTGGCTTAGGACAGTCTGAATGACACATGGTTAGCCCTCCACCATTTACTCTCCCCCTGCCGCCTGACTAAGCTAGGACCATTAATTTCAATGGGTCTATTCAGAACATGGCTATAACCCTAAATGTTATTTCCAACCTTGCATGCAAATTAGAAATATTCTTGTTTTACGGCTGCTAGGATGGAAACAGGTGGCAGGCAGTCTTTCACCTGCTAAATAAATCCCACAAGGTGGTCATAAATACCTGTACTTCTGTTGTGTCTGCCAACAGTTCACAAAAGCCACTAAGCTGGAGGGAGGGAGGGTTTGGCAAGTAAGATTGTACTTAATTGCACCCTGTGTGTATACAACTACACAAAAACATATGCAGAAGGTGGTGGTTTAGAAGCAACTACAACAGTATGTTCGTGCAGACAGGCGTTTGTGTTAAAGGAACATTTATTGCTCAAGTTAACAGTGCAGTTCTCTTGCCTCCAATATTAACAAATGTTACATTGAATGCGGAGAATGAAGGGTTGGGAGTTGACAGGATGACCCTGCTGTTTTATGCTTCCTTCCATGTGCAAAGCTGCCCCAATAAATTTGGGTTTCCAATATTGAATAGCCAAAGCAACTCATGCCCCCAAGTGTTGTAACCATTTATCCCCTCCCCTATGAAATTGTGGAAAAGCCAGAAGGCTGATGAAAGCAGCCTTTTGGATTGTAAACTTCCACCATCTGAGACTTCTATACTAAATAGCAGGTCTATGTTTGCATAACCGAAAACAAGGGCCGAGGAAATTTTATTTCAGCAGGCAAAATATTCCAATCCATTCATTTCCAATCCATTCATTTTTGTCTGGTTTTAGGAAATAGTAGAATACCAGGCAAGCTAGTGGTTGCTCCAAGCTCACACTGCATGCCCCCCCTTTTTTTTTACAAAGCCATCCTTATGTTCCTATACAAATAATTTTGGAACTTTCACCACTTTGGAACTAACCTAAGTTTTGCTGCCTGCTTTTTTCTGACTGCTCTATGGAAAATCACATGAATCTGACCTTGGATGAAGTGTAAGTAACCCATTTTTAACTTATCAAATGTGATCTTTTTCTATGCTAGGGGAAGTGGAGAACTTTGGAAGATATATTTTAAAGGTCTAATAGGCTATATTCCCATGCTTTACTGTGCTTCATATTTTGTGATTTTAAATCTCTGCTGGCATTCTCTTACCAAAGAGTACTTGCACCAAGCCTGGTTCTTGGTACCCAGGGAATTCTCTTTCTCTTTATGCATTTTTTTAAAAAAATTCCCAGCCAATAATAGCAAATAAGCTTCACTGTTCCCCTGAAGTGACAAAATGGCTGAAGCAAGCTATGATTTGAGGCTGGCACTCAGGAAACATAGGCAAACATGCCAAGTGATTTCATCATTCTCCCATAGTGTGAATGATTATTTTAGAAATCTCCTTCCTCTATACTTTTGTTGCTTTTTTTTTACTATGTTCACACTGTGGCTGATATTTCTGAGGAAAAATTCTGTCTTGCCTTTTTCTCAAAACACGTGTGTGTGTTTAATGTTCTCCTTTCTGCACAGATGACTGCACAAAGTGCTATTATCTGTTTTCTCCCTGAGCATTAAAGCAATTCTTTAAGTGATAGACCTGCCCAGAATGTTTCTCTGATCATTATGAGACTGTCAGTCGCGATTGTTATTGGTAGCAATTTTATGATCGCCTAGCCATGTGGACTAAAAAACATGTTTTATTTAAAAGGAATGCGCTTTTGCATGGCGTAATGAGACTGGGATACAAATACCTCTCAATAGGACACATTCTTGTGAAATGATTTAGTGTCCCAGCTGGGATTTGGCTCCTAGAGAGATTTCCAGATTTGTTGCTTACTGACGTTGGTTCATGTTTAGGGAAGAGAGAGCAATATTACCTTGTGAGAAAAGCCAGTTGAGGGCAAGGGGTGGAATGGGGGGGACGGAGTGGGGAGAAAAATAGTCTTGATTTTCCCAACACTGGCTTGATGTATCACAAAGGAATAATATTAGGGAATAATATTGCTTTCCTCTCTGCTGCTCATTCTATAACAAGGTTTCCCAAATGTGGGTCTCCAGTTGGACTACAATTCCCATCATCCTTGACCACTGGTCTCTCTTGTTAGGGATGATGGGAACTGTAGTCCAAAAATAGCTGGAGAACCAAGTGTGGGAAACCCTGCTCTATAAGAACTAAGGAGACACTTTACTGGATCATGAAAAGTAAGGGACTTCAAGTGGACTTCATACAATGACCACCCAAAAAGGAGAAATGCATCTCACACACCCAAAAGAGGCCACAGATTAACAAGGGGGGAAATGTATGTGCTAATTTATATGAATTTTTTTTGTAACCACTATTCACCAATGGTAACCAAATTCTGTCCCATCTGTAAAATGGACCTCCCACCCATGGTTGCACCAGCCTATCAAATGAATAAAATGCAAGCCATAAATTATAAACTAAACATATACTTATTTATATATGCAAATATGCCATTATGGCTCACTGAATTGTATACCATGCAGGATTGTACAGTATCTTCAGCAGTAGGGACATGGGTGGCGCTGTGTCTAAACCACTGGGCCTCTTGGGCTTGCAGATCGGAAGGTCAGCGGTTTGAATCCCCATGATGGGGTGAGCTCCCATTGCTCTGCCCCAGCTCCTGCCAACCTAGCAGTTCAAAAGCACACCAGTGCAAGCAGATAAATAGGTACCGCTACAGCGGAAAGGTAAACGGCATTTCCGTGTGCTCTGGCTTCCATCATGGTGTTCCGCTGCGCCAGAAGTGGTTTAGTCCTGCTGGCCACATGACCCGAAAAGCTGTGTGTGGACAAACGCCGGCTCCCTCGGCCTGAAAGCGAGATGAGCACCGCAACCCCATAGTCACCTTTGACAGGACTTAACTGCCCAGGGGCCCTTTACCTTTACCTTTTTACTGAACCAAAGAAGAACAAAGCAATTTGTAGATCCAACAATTGAAATGACCTCAGAGTTCCAAGTCAGAGCAACACTTACAGTTCCTTACAGGCACTCTCTCTCCAAAAACATCTGATGGTAGAGCAGGAACCTGGACAAATCTGTAACTCTTGAAGCAGGCAAAACATCCAGGCCTCTTCCAAGCTCGCTGCCTTCTCCTCCAAGCTGGCTTCCGGAATTCTCCTACAAGAAAAAAGTTAGTGAGCATGCTCCACTGCTGTGGAGAAAAGGGGAGGGGGTCAGATTATGGGCCCTCTGTTGGCTTTTACAATGTCTCTTCCCTGCTCCTAATAAGGATTACAGCATGGGTTACCTATAGATGCAAATTTATAAATAATTGCTATGCTTTACAGGCTTTTGTTTATTTAAGCTGTTTATATACTGCTTACCTAGTGAATTTTCTAAGTGGTGTATATAATTTTTTTTAAAAAGCTTGCAGTAGATTTATCAATTGAAATTAAACAGAAAAACAGAAAATGTCCTTAAAATTGCCTGCTGAAATAGAACGGTTCAATAAGGTTCAATAGAAGTTCAACAAGGAGTCGTCATGTCTAATTGCAGCGAGGAAGAAGTGCCACAGAATTTGGTCTACAATACTGAATGCACAGTTTCTGGTGCACCGGCCCGGCTTGGCCCAGTTCAACACCCTGAGATGAAATGGTAAGGTGCCACCTTTCCCTGGCCGCTCCCTCCCTCCCCTCCCCCGAACTTCTCTCCCATCTCTAGTGTAAATTAATAGACATTTAAATCAAAAAATCTTGATTATTATTCCTCCCTACCCATCTGTGCAAGTGATAGCCATTTGTTTGGTCCTGGAACACATACTTTCCTATGACTAATCATTGTATTATATGATCTGTCTCACCTCATGAGTTTGCTCGAATAAGTTTACTCTTTCACTGGCTGAAACAGATTCCTTGCAATTCGCAAAATAGAGTACATATGGGGCTGTATGTGACTTTGCTGTGCAACTATGTTATAGCGAGTGCCAAAAGGGGAGAAACACGTGGAAACAAAGCATGATTTTCAACTTGCAGAGTTAAATTTAAGTGAGCACATATGAGGGTAAGTGGCAGAACTGAAATACGACTAAGGGAGAGGGTGGTATTTCAGAACTGGAAATCATGGAAATTTTGATCAGCGAGATGGAAACTGTGGGGTTTCAGCTACATTCTTCTAGAAAGAACCCAAGAAATCAAACAAAAACTTGGATGTGCTCAGAATAGCCGTGCGCATCACCCACAGAAATATACATACATTTTGTCTGGGTCAAAACACTGATGGGAAAATGTTAGGCTTTCAATTCCAGGCTCTGGAAGCACCCATGGTTCAAATGTGCATTTCTTTTCCAGGGGTGAAAATCCATCCTGCAAGTTTTAGGTAGATGCTGGCTGTTCATGGTGTTGACTGGCAGGACCCCTAAAATGTCATCAAGAAGCCTTCCTACCCCTCTTGTCCTAGACCTGCTTTGCACTTAGCAAAACATCCATATATAGATGTACAGTTATAGTAAGAGAGAGCAACAAATGAACGCATATGTCCATTACTATTCTTGCAACACTTTGAAATGGGGGAAGGGCAAGACTGAGCTAGTATTCAGTTCACTGAAATGACAGGTATATGTGTTCTGAAGATGGAAAACAGGGACAAACTGTGAGCTCTCCTTTAATATTAGGTTTGTCTTAACCCTTAAAAATTGGTTAATTTTAGGTTTCTTCATTTATTGTTGCAGCAAAGATTATTATTTCTGTCCTATTGCACCTTTATTCTGCATTAATATGCTTGGGGATGGAAAAATAATTTGATTTATTGCACCTTTATTCTGCATTAATATGCTTAGGGATGGAAAAATAATTTGATTTAGTACACATTTAAAGGCAAATCTTTTTCCGCTTTTTGAAACAATATGTGAACTGAAACACAGCTGTCCTTTGAAATTTGCACATCTGAATTTCACAGTGCAGTTCTCCAACCAGTTTTTTACAAAAATATATATGCATATGTTAGGGAAAGCTGTACATAAATATGAAAATAAAATACAAACGTGCATTATATTAGGGTAAATTACTTGCAGAAATGTGTACATTAGTCAAAACTGCATATAAAAATGTGTGTGTTAGGAAAACCATCGTGCTAAAATCTGGTGAATTTTCATGAGGATTTTTTTAACAATCTTGTAAATCATTGCAAAATGTGAAGAACGTAATTTAAAACTGGAAAACTGAGACATGCAAAACTGAGACAGATCCACCCTCAATGTGCTGTTCACTGCTGTAAGGGCCTTTGGGTTAAAAAGCACCATATAACATACCTTAACATAACATTTTTTAAAAAAGAAAAATCCTCCCTGCAAAAGACCATTAAATCAACAGTCTAAAATTATCTAACCATAACACTGCTTAAAGCACCAGCATCCTCAGTCCTTCCTCTCAGGAAAGGCGCCAGGACCTGATCATTGCCCACAACCAATTTTTTGCCCTTCTTTAACATGTATGCTGTAAAAGGGGGAAGAGTTTGAAGTTCATCTTCCTCCTTTCTTAAATAATTGGATCCATTCTGTGAGAGGTGAGCTTCTCAGTCATTCCCCTTTTGAAATAAACTAACGCATTAATAAAATATTCTATATAATTTTTCAGTTGCCCACAAGAGTCTGAAAAGCTACATTTCCCCCCAGAAAGAAATAAAAGACCATTGTTAAAGAGATTATTTTGCGATAGCCTTCAAAGCATATGATGCAATTCCATCAACTTCAATTGCTCTTAAGGGAGACCCAAATTTTGATGGTATAATTCACTTTCAAGAGCCATGCTGATAGGGCTCATTAGTTTAATTCCACACATTGTGCTTATTGAATATATAAGTAATTTGCTACTCAATGAGCTGTGAACATTTTCTGGGCACCTTCCATCTCCTTTTTATTTTCCAGCCTAGACAAGTAGATCAGAAAAGAGCAGAACATGTAAAAAAAAAATCTTAGAACATGCAAGTAAGCATGACTGGATTGGCTTTTGGCCTTATTTTTATCCACCATAATGTTTCTTCAAGCTTAGACATGTGTTTGCTCCACAGTTTGTCCTATTTATATGCCAAAGTTTCAAAGTTCAACTATTTTAGACTTCTGTGCATGGAAAATAAGTGTGGCTGTTTTTGTTGTTGTTATTCTGCATTGGAAATAAGATACCCAATGATTTATTAAATGTGAAATAAAATAGAGAGACAATTTATCATCAACACTTGGAAACATCTGACTAATCCTTTCCCCCTGTAAATAAAATTTGCAAACTAAACATTCAAACCCAGCTGAATATATTTATGAGGAATCATAGTTCTAAACTGTATTGATGTTTCAATGTGAATATTTTATACTGAAGTTCTACAATTTTCCTTTTTGAAAACAAAAATTCAGATTGTCAACAAAAAATAACTAAGGGTAACAATAAGTGTTGGCTACTCCAGTGCTGTTGACTTCCAGCACTGGCAAAAGGTTCTATCAACTATATTTATCCTTGTAAAGGTGAAATTGTACTGGTACGAAGGTCTACTTTTCACCAGTCTTGAAAGCAGACCTTGCACCAGAACAATAGATGCTACCATGTAATGATAGAGCTTATAAATTAGAGTTTATAAAGCTACCCCCTCAGTATTAATGAAATGGACTTGCCCTATAGTCACATGGCTTAGTCTAGTTTCAAAGGGGAAGTTGTTGCTCAAGTTTGGATAAGAAGTTGCTGAGCATATAAAGCTATTCCAAGCTGTTGCTCATTACTTTAGCCTGTCTGTGGACCCAGAATCAACCAGTACTGGTCCACTGTTACTGGAATAAATATGCTGCAGAAGGGCATTTTCCTCTTGGGCGAATGGTGCCTTTATTGTGGCTTAGGGCACAAGAGCAAAGGACACAAACCAGGACCAACAACAATAATTTATTTATACCCCACCCATCTGGCTAGGTTTCCACAGCCTCTCTGGGTGGCTTCCAGCAGAATATCAAAACATAATAAATATAGAAACACAATCCACCATGTTCTTGCACTGTGCCATTAATTTCAAAGAGGCTTGAGCGTTTCAGTGGATTGTGCCCTAAACTTTTAGCCCTAGCAGAGAATACGGAAGTAGGGGTATCCCAAGTGATAATCTTGTATTGGGATGCCATGGGAATTCCTCACAACACTTTCTCTGGATTGAGAACTGGGCTTCCATCTGTGTTCCCTTAGTAGCCTATAATGCTGATCAGATTTATAAAAAGCTATTTTGTGATGGTAGGTCCGCTTTCTGTGGTTAAATCCATGGCTATGCTATTTAACAACTGTTTTGAAAGCCTGCAGGAACATAAGCAGGTAACTCCAGTATCAAATGATTCCAAAAATAGCCTCTAACACAAGTTCCTAAAGCTTTTGCCTGATGTGCATAGAAAGATAATAAAACCACTGCTAATATATTTTCCACTTACCTTTCAGTCAGGAATAGCAATCCTACTTGGGGCTTTTTCTGGTTTAAAGCAAATATCTCCATAGATTGTCTCCAAAATTAGTCTTACTAACATGGAAGTTGTGAAACATTTTCAACACCTAGATTTGATAAATTCTCCCTTCAGATTTTACTAATTGATTCATTCACCCAAATTTTGACTGCTGCATTTTCCTTTCTATCTAAAGTTTCTGGCATCTCTGTTAATATCTGGAAGATCTATATAGTAACTGACTTTATAATTGGATATACAGGTATCACACTGACTCAAAATGTATCTTAAAATCAGAAGGAAACCAAAATAATGAGGAAAGCATTACTCTTAAGATTTCATTTGTAGATGCTTTCAGTAATGTTAGCACTGGTTGGATATAAAAATAATACTAATAAATATGAGGAAAGGTGCTTAATGGGAGCAGCCATTGAGATAAAGGATTCCCTGGTGATCTACTGCAAATCAGCCAGAGATCCAGTTCTTTGTTTCTGGGGGGACGCAGAAAATAAGGAGTGACTCTGATTAACAGGGGCCATTGGTGCATGTGTCATAGCCTGAATAAAAAGGAAACTGCATATCTTTGAACCTACATCACTTACGATTGCCATATTTTTTCTGTCTTTCTCCTACCAAGTAGAAGACAGATCTTACTACAACCTTTGAGTACCCAGTTCTGTCCTGCATCTCCTGTTCAATATCTCCTGTTCAAAGTTGAAAACATTGAGATGTAAACCCGGTTCCATGACAAACTGTGGATGTACTGTACTGCACAATGTAGTACTGCAGATTGGGGGAGCCAACAAGAAATGCCTGTCTAGAACTAATTGGTATTTTTTCGAGGGGGGGGGTTGTATATGTGCTAAACTTGTAATTCCATCTATTTATTGGCTTGCAGTAGGGATAAATTTGTGAATTCACAAAAGGGACATCGCAATCATACGCCGCACTTTGCTGGCTTTGAAAAGCTTGTGAGTAACACTGAGCAATTAAGATGCCCTTTTTATAGCTCTTTCAAGTGTAATCAAGTGAATAATTGAATAAAACCGAATGAAGGCCACAGCAGGCCACCCACAAGTATGCTGGCTTTTCATAGCTGCTACAAACAGATGAGAAACTCAGGGTGGGGGAGGGCCATCTATTTCACAATGCTCCTTGTGCTGTATGGATTATGCAGTGAATTTGAGGCTTGGCTTTACGTTTCTGGATTCTTAACCACAAAGGTGGCAGCATCGTTGTTACTTATTTTATTTGCTGATGCTCAGTAGTTTCTTAGGACTGTCTGCTCTAAATTACATTTGGTGATGTACTGCTCGCTTTTAGTGGCAGAAGCCTCCCAGGGTACGCCTGCCTCTTCACTGGTGGCACTGATTTGGGACAAGATCATGGGCAAACTGGCAATACTGCTTCCCCGCCAGTAGCATGCAGTGGTGCCAGAGAAGGCAACGTGAGCGGGAGCAGATAGATGGTGGTAGGAGCAGTGATGGCAGCAGGGCAAAGCAGTACTTCCCATTTTGCCTCAGACTGGGAAACAGGACGCGTTCCCCCTGCCACAGCACTGGGCCTTTGGCTTGCCAAAATTTGCTGGACCGGTGTGTTCCCACAAGGCAAAAGCACTTTGCGCTTCATGGGCTGGCAAGCCAATCCAGGGAGTAGTTGTTATTACTATTGATTATTTTATTATTATTTATTATTATTGCTTATTAGTAGTATTATGAGATGTATGTGGCCATGTCAATAAATATTCCCTGAGCAGCTTACAGCAAAACAATATCAAAAATATAATACATAGCAATTCAAACAACAACGAAAGACAAACAGCCTGCAGCCCTGATTCCCCCACAGGTGCTTTCTTAAGTATTAAAGATTAATGCAACACACCTTCAATATAACATGCATTTTGCACCTGGACCTTTGGACTATGCATATGAACAGTGTTGTTAACTTTTGAAAACATTACAGCAAAATGTAATGGCAAAACCTCCTCTCTAGGTTATTAATGTGCTAATATAAAAAGCATAAGAGAGCCATTTCAAAATTGTATGTCAGTCCTGTCCAATGAGATTTTTAAAATTTGATTATCACTTGGAGATAATTGGAACATAAGTATTAGGATCGCAGCTGAATAGAGTCTAATGTAACTTCAATAAAGTCTTTCAGCTTCAAATTAATGTGCTTTCTAGGAGGTAATGGCTTTCTAGGAGGCAATTTATCTCTCCAATTAGTTTTAATAAGCACAATGACAAAGGTAAGATGAACTAGTTTACTGGGCCACCTGCTTTTGGTGGGAGTCCACTGAAAGATTGCTTGGCCTCTATAATTCTCTGGGATCAACCCATAAACAGTGCTATAGACAATTTGATTTTAATGATGTTTAGCAGTGATTTGGGGAGGCCTCTGTAATCCAAGAATCTTTGGTTACAGCGGAAACT